GTGCGGCGTAGGGGGGGATGGGTTGCGGGTGAGGGGTTATGGCTTTCCAAGTTCTGCACAGGGAGAAGGGTGGGTTGCAGGTTGGGGGGAATTTTGGGTTTCTGGTGCGTGGGGGTTTACAAGGACAGAGAAGGAAGGGGAGGACTTGGTGCAATTAGGGGAGAAGGGATGGGTTGGGTTTTTGTTTTTTTGTTTTCCCTTTCTAAAATCTATTTTATTTTCAATTTTATGTTTATTTTTTAATTTTTTAAGTAATTAAAAAACCTAAGTGCACAAAATTACTAAAATACCCCTACTACGTCATCGAACTTAACGGACTTTTGGATGGAGTTAACGAAAAGGGCAATGTAGAACATCAAACATTGATCAAAGGGGCAACGTGGGTCACTTTAACTTTCAGAGGGTAAAATAAGAATTGACTAGACTAATGTTTCAAGGAGCATTGTAGCACTTAAGCCCTTTTCATACGTGGAATAATGAAAATTTTCATCTTTACAATAAAATTGAAGCCAAAAAATCATGCCCTCATACTGCAAACATCTGAATTATTTAGGTTGCACAAAATATTTTGCCCCGGATTCCACATATTTTCCCAATACTTTTGATACATAATTATGGAACCAAATAAATCTGGATAACTTCTTTCGCAAGAATAGATTTCCTCGAGGGGTTCATTATGAATATTATGACCGCTATTAAAAAAGCGAACCATTCTTTTCTTCTTCATTTTTCTTTTCTTTTTGGCGCGAATCAATTTCCTTGCGACCTGTGACATATACGCATCTTTCATACGAGCCTAGTCCTACAGTCCTCCTAATGTCTTTTCCCTTTTCAGTATGCTAATCAATTTCCCTAAAATGTCTTTAAAAAAAATTAAAGAAACAAATTTACAAATCGGTGCAGTATCATATATTCCGTCCGACATAAACTTTCCCGTTTCGTTTCGTACTACTGCGCCGGTAGTGTTTCGAAACGCCACGAAAAATCAGTGTAATCAGACGAATCAAAGTAGACGTCGGAATTCCCAAACAGTCCATCGAACGCCACGTAGTCGGTACTACTGTCATGAACATGGCCTCCTAACTCGAACGAGTCGTAACTCGGAGGGTGGTCGTCGAATCGCCAAAACTCGTCGATTCCGGACGAGTCAGACGAAACTCGGACCAACTCGGTCTCTCTGCCTTCTGCCAGCACTTCGCTAAAGTTCTCCGACGGAGGGAGACCCAGCTCATCATCTGAGGCTCCTAGAAGGTAACCAAGGTCCGGATTGGACTCGCCGGAATCTGACGTCAGATCGACCACCGGTACCGGAGCCGACGGCGTGGCCGGCGACGGACGAGGCGACGTCGGACATGAAGTGGTGGATCCAATCTCTTCCTCGAAGCTTTTCATGACCGAGTCGAGGTCCTGAGTGGCCGCGTCGGGTTCCGAGTCGTCGAGGAAACCCAGTAGGTCTTCTCTGAGTCGCTTAACCTCGGCCGAGTCATGCTCCGAGTCGTCCGAGTTGTCTCGGATCCGCTTCTTGCCATTTGAGGTGTGGTCCTCCATAACATATACCAATCGCAAATTAAAGGAGTGTTTTGAAGATTTGAACGTGAGAATGTGGTGGTGGTGGCAAAGTGAGGAGAGAAGCATTATATAGGGGGACAATGTAAAGAGAGAGAGTAGAGAGAGAAAGAGAGAGTGTGTGTAATGATGTGACGTGGGCGCGTGGGATCGAATACTTAGTCCATCACGGACTCCTTGCCCAATCTTTTTCAATTTTTTCCCTTTTTATTTATTTGCTTCTTTTTGGGTGGTTTCTTTTTCCAGATTTGTTTTCTATTAATTGGAATGAATTCCGGGCTCAAGTCCGGTCAGTTGTGGGACCAACTCGTCCTAGTCAATCACGGCGTTATTTGTTTGTTTATCTTTTTCTTGGGTTTTTTCTTTTATTTTTGGCTCGGGTCGGCTTGATTCGGCTGACTAAATTGTAAAGCATTTTATGGTTTGAGTTGTTGGGTGATGGGTGGGAGAATGAGAATGAAATTATTGTGGGAGTTTGAGGGTATTATGGTAAATTAAGTTGGCTTTTAAAGAATGAGAATAAATGGATCGGGTTGGGTTGGGTTGGGTTTGATTAAGGTGGAGTTGGATTTTGGATTTGACGGGGCGGTGAGCTTGACTTTATCGAAAAGAGACTGGCTTGGGTGTGGAGAGAAAAGTTGTAGGTAAATTGATTACGTACTTTTCTGGAAGGAATAGCTTAATGGGTGGTTGATGACGTTGATGGGCACTGAAAGCAAATGAATTTGCCAAAATGGTGTAGTAGTAGTTTCCAGTAATCTCTCCTATTTCTCATGGATATTTAATTTATCTCTATCCTAATTCTTTCTTTCTAATGCAATGGGGATCCAGCTCAAATGTTATTCGACTAAATAATTATTAAATTTATTGATCAGTTACACAACACTTCTAAATTTTGAGGAGAATTTTAAATTGATACTCAAATTTTGAAGATCCTACGAATTTATCTTTAAACTCACATAAAGCTTATAAATGAAACCCCTTGTTACTCGTACTTCCCACCTCCACCCCAAAACCCTGATGTATCTTCCAACCCAGTCTTATTTTTTATGCGACTATAACACTCAAGTAATAGTTTAAAATACTCTAAAAATTAATATAATTTACAAAGTTATGAATTCGAACTTGGGTGCAATCGGACACACTCATTATCTTTGCCAATTGACCTAATCCACATATACAAATGATGAAATCGGACACAAAGATATTTTAAGATGTTGTGGCTTTTGTGGGTTGTGGATTGAAATATTGCTTGGTGCGGATTTGGTGGAGTGCAACTCTTCACTAAAGCAATTGCTTTAATGTTCTGTTCAATTACAGCTACGCTATAATAATTAATAAATAAATAAGGTGATTATAAGATTTGAGAGCATCATCCATAATTACAAGCATATGAATATATGGCCGCCCATAATATAAATATACCATGGATGTAAGTAATGTGCTACACTAGAAGAAAGAATATACCATAAATCCAACAAAAGTCAATATACCGTATTCAAAAAGATTTAAAAATTCAGTAATTGATTGAGTCATGGAGCACACCGGAAAATATGTACTCCATAAAATACTATTTCCTCTAGAATGCAAGACCGCCTTTAACATCATTACAAGTTTTCATCTTCAACAAAATGAAGTTTGCCCATCTAGTCAATAAAATGTTCAATAATTAAGCTAATAAAATAAGTTAGCCAGCATAATTTGATTGTCAACGAAGCATCCTGATGGTTGTTTTGTAGGAAAATTCAAAAAATACCCGCTGGGTGGACGACAAACAACCTCATCCATCCATAATTCCCCTCCCTACAATCCAACCCCCTCCCTTCCTTTACTCTTTCTTTCACACACACCCTGTCGGGCCAACGTTTCCCTCGTCGCACGTACCTCATCCCATTCTTCTCACGTGGGACCCACCTTATGCTGTGGGGACAAAGCAAAGCTGGTGGCTCAAACGGTGCGCCGACTTCAGATGGCTGTGCGTGGTAAAGCAGATGAAGTCCATTCAGTGACACGTTCAAGTCTAAACGTACGTAGGCCAGGTAGCCGCTGTTTTTAAAGCCGCTCCTCGATTGATGCATTAGTTTTTTTTTTGTTTTTTGTCAAGTTGTCGTTTGGGCTTTGCCTACACGTTTACACGTGCCCCACTTTTCCACAAGCATTTGGTATTTACTTCCTGTTTGGCGCCAGATTTAGGTCTTTTTTATTTTTTTTCTGGTCTTGTCAATAATGTAAATAGGAGATCTAGAAAAGCTGATGCGTCGTCGGGCAGAAGGTAGGGGGGTCCACGTGTAGCACTGGTGGGTTTTAAAAGCAATCACATGATTCAGGCAGGGGCAAGGGGTCTAACCTGAATCAGAGTACGTTATTTATGTCGTGGTTTTCACGCTTCACGAGGAAGAGGAGTTTGGATTTAGATGAGGACGCATCGGACACAGCCGTTCCTTAGTGCGCAACGACTTAATTTCCTTCCAACATTCGCCGCCCATGATCACATTACATTTATATAAAGAGTTATTTACAATAGCACTTTCTGAATATTTTTTTTTAAAATCTCATGAGATATCAGAAATTATATGAACACTCCATACGATTTTAAATTATTTTCATAAAATTCATTTTCATTAATTATTCATCAAAAAATTAATAATTTTTTTATATTAAAAAATTATCCAAATGACATAGTTTTGTCATTTGCATAAGTTTTTTTTTAATAATGAAATCATCAATTTTTGAACGGACATTCAATGAAAATGAGTTTGTGAAAACAATATAAAACTTCATGGAGTATTTTTGTAATTTTTGAAACTTCAATGGTTTTATGAAAACACTAAAACCTCATGGAGTGTTAGTCTAAATAACTCTTTGAAAAAATTAGTCAATTGAGAGAGCTTCTTTTTTGTTTTTGTTTTGGTCTTTTTTTTTTTTTGGGTAAGGATTTTATGTTAAAATTTATTAAGCATTTCTCGTCAATTGGGTTATGCGCTTTTTGTTATTTAGGCCCTATTTGAGAGTGCTTCTGGAAGGGCTAAAAGCTCTTTCAGACAACCACAAGCACTTCTGATAGCATTTGACAGAAAATTTTAAAAGCATTTATAAGTCTTAGAAGCGCTTTCTAAAGAAGCACTTGCTATGTGCTTTTTCCAAAAAGCACTTGAATTTCTTATAAAAATTTCAACATATTTATAATAAAAACGTTTTTACTAGAAGCACTTATAAGCAGAAGTACTTGCTAAAAAAGTAGTCCCAAACGAGCCCTTAATATATAGGTAAAAGCAATTTAAAGATACAAATTATTACACTCTTGGCCTATCTTTCTGTCAGAGTAGGATTTGTAACTTGGTGAATACCTTTATGAGATATTTAGTCATATACCCATTCTTAGCACTAAAACTATAAATAAACCATACACCATTTAATTTTTATAAACATACCCAAAAATTGACAGTTGGACCTATTTAATTTAATTTTGATTATTAAATTACTTTGATGCCCTATTGAGTGTTTTAAGCTTTTTTTATGAGATTTTGGGGTTGGGTTTGTTTAAAAAAAGAAATGACAGTTTTGTAATTTAAAATAAGTTAAAAGTCTTTTTGTTATGTTGTAAAAGAACTTTGGGTGTGTTTCTAAAGTCCATTTCATATATGTTTTTTTTTATAACTTTGGCTCATATATTTGGTATAATGGTGAATCTACCTAATTTTATTGATTTCTATAAGATATGTAACGAACTTAACTACTATACGCTTAGATTAATCAATTTTTAGTATTATGGTATTTGTTTTCATTTTGTTAGAGGAGATTTCTTCTTAATATATATATATATATATTTATTTATTTATTTATTTTAATGATGAATTCGATTTGTCGTGTTTAATTGGTGTGAATAAACGTATCTGAAGATTCTGATCCGTTTTGATCTTAACTTTTTCGGTGGAGATGGGTTTGCAGTCTCAGTCTCAGTCGAAGATGGGTTTGCAGTCTCGGTCGAAGTCAGACCAGGCAGCACGCCCTTTCTTTTCTCCCTCGCATGTTTGATTGTTTTCGTGTTTCCAGCCTCTTCTCTTTGAAGAAATCAAACCTCTTGTTGGATTGCATAGCAACACAAGCTTGACAGAAACTTGCACACATTATTTTAATAAGGTCATATAATGACACTAATTAAATATATTTTAAAAAAAAAAAAAAAAGGCCTGCGAATTGATCAATAATACTATTACTAAAATAGGCAATAGTAGAAAGAAAATGAAAGGCCGGTTTTGTGTAGTGGTGTATTTTGTTTTAAAAAACGACACCGGATTCGGCTGACCGACAATTTCTGTATAAATTCAAATATTTAATTTTTATTATAATTATATGCGTCAGGGCACTTAATTTAGGTTATTATGTTTGTCGATGACTCAATGGAATAATTTGTATAGATAATTCACTCAAGTAATAATTTCGTGTAGGCCAGTTCTATGCAGACGCCTTGTTACCAAAAAAATGAAGAAACACGTTTTCCACACCGCAATATGTTTATTTAGGGGGACAATTTTGATGGGTTTCCTGTTTCCAACACGGATTATGGCTTCAGGATTGAGAAATTGACAAATGTCTAAAAAGAGGGAAGACTTTGCCCAACCCAACCCAACCCCAATGGACTGGTCACATTTTCTGCGTGATTGAATTACTTGCCTTTCAAGAAAATTGGAATTTCCATCTAACCCCAAAACGCAAGTGTCCCACAAAAAGGAGACGTGGTGGGCCATGGCCACATTGATAATGTCCTCCCCTCTACGGGTTTTCTGAATCACGAAAATTCCTTGAAAGCAATTCATATCTACATTCATAATGCCCTTTTTCTTTCTTTTTTTCCTTTTTTCAGGAGTGGGCAAGGTACAAATTCCCACTTATCTTTCCTGCTTTATTTCTTTACTAATATGTTAGGTGACTTGACTCTAATCGTCCTTCTTCTTTTTTTTCTTTTTTCTTTTTTGCTAAGAAGTTTCATCTAATATTCCTAGCTAGTCTAATAGGAAAACGATTGCCCAAGGTCCCTAATCTTAAATAATGTTACA